ACCGGTTTGGCTCAGTGGATAGAGCATCAGCCTGAGGACTCAAGGGTCCCAGGTTTGATTCCAGTCAAGGGCATGTACCTTGGTTGTGGGCACATCCCCAGTAGGGAGTGTGCAGGAGGCAGCTGATCGATGTTTCTCTCTCATCGATGTTTTTAACTCTCTATCCCTCTCCTCTCCTCTCTGTAAAAAACCAATAAAATATATTTCAAAAAAAAACCCAAAAAACTGAAACACCCTAAAGGAATGAAATTAAAGTACATCTACATGCAAAAATATAAGTAAATCTCAAAAACATAATGTTGAATGAAAGAAGCCAAATACACAAGGATACACAATTTATGGTTCCATTTACGTAAAGTTCACACACAGGCACAACTGAACTTTAGTGTAAACTTAAAGACATTGGTTATTTTCAATTATCTTTGAGGAGAAGTAGCGATTATGATTACAAGAGGACTTGTTTCTGGGGTCCTAGCAATCTTGACCTGGATTGCAGTTGCATGGTTTTGAACTTTGTAATAATTCACTTAGCTTTATATTTGTTTTCTTTACTCTTCTGTATATGTTATGCATAAGCAAATATGCACATATATGGAATACATATGAATAATATATACACATATAAATAAAAATGTATATATAATGTACACACATTATCATTCTACGTTGTATCAACATTCTATGTTGAGAACTTCAGATAATAGTTTCTTCCTTAAAAGTGTACATAATTTAGATGAGAAATATGATGGGTACATGTGATTCTCACAAAGGAACGAGTAATTATGGGGCATTAATAATGTAAATAGCTGGCCCTTCGACTTACAGTCAGAGCACATGCCCCAGTTGCAGGCTTCATCCCCGGTAGGGAGAGTGCAGGAAGCAGACAATCAGTGATTCTCTCTCATCACTGATGTTTCTCTCTCTCCCTCTCCCTTCCTCTCTGAAATAAATAAAAATTTATTAAAAAATAATGTAAATAGTTTTTAATTTTTTACTGAGTTTAAGAGGAATTTCCATAATTTTTTTTACTGTTATTCTCAAAACTTTAAAGATAACACTAAAACTTTACCACGACTATAGGAAGGATCTAGCTTTTGCTTATTACTCTTCTTCCCTCTCAGTCTTAAAAGGAGATTAGAGTTTTGTCTCTGGATATAATCATTCCAATACAAACTACTTCTTTCTTCCCCTGAAAGGGTTTTCAAATAAGACAAAACACTAAATCTGAGTTGTGACAAGCACTTATCACACAATTATTTATTTTACATTTTCTAGATGACTAACGAGATTGATATCTTTTCATTTTTTTCAGTAGTTTTTCAGGTTTTAAATTTTATAAGTGGCCTGGTCATATTCTTTAACCACTTTTCTATTAGTGTAAATGTATTAATGTTTGTGAAAGAGCTTTCCAATTCTACTGGTAGATGCTAATCAACTCTCAGTTATATTTATTGTAAATACACATATTCTCCCCTTCTACAGCTAGTCATTTATTGATGACATCTTTTGTGATATCCAAGTTTTTATTTATAATGCAGTTTATTCATATATCTTCTTCCAGTCAAAAACCTTTGTCTGTGAAGAAGTCTTCTATCCTGAGAAAATAACGTGCTGGAGGTTCTAGTCAGTGCACTAAGGCAAGAAAATGAAATGAACAGCATTCAAATTGGAAAGGAGTAAGACTATGTTTATAAGATGAAAAGATCGTCTATGTAGAAAATCTAATGGGCTTTACAAAAAAAAACTATTACAACTAATTAGTGGGTTTAGAAAGGTTGCAGGGTACAATTGACAAAAATAAAGACTTCTCTATAGTAGCAATGATAAATAAAAAATCAAGGTAAAAGACTAATACCATTTACAATAGTATCAAAACAGCAACACATCTGATAAAAGGTATGCAAAACCTATATACTAAAAAATATCAAATATTGCTGAGAGAAATTAACGAAGAGATATTTCAATGGATATATAACTTTTCATTGATCAGGTAACTCAATATAATCTACACAAATTGATCAGTAGTTTCAATGCAATGCCTATTAAAATCCAAGCATCTGTTTTTGTAGAAATTGACAAGCTGCTTCTAAAATTTATATGGAAGTGCAAAGGGCATAGGGGATAGCCAAAACAACTGTGAAAAAGAACACATTTGAAAGGCTAACACTATCTGATTTTAAGACTTATTATAAAACTTCAAATAGATTAATGGAACAGAATCAAGTCCAGAAATGGACCTACACAAATACAGACAACTGATTTTTAACAAAGGTCAAAGGTACTCCAATGGAGAAAGGATATTCTTTTGATTGGGCATCCATATACAAAAAAAATGAGCCTCAACCCTTACAAAATTCAACTCAAAATGGATCATAGATCTAAAAGTATAACTTAAAACTACAAAACTTCTAGAAAAAAAAATAGAAGAAAATCTTTGCACCCTTGGGTTAGGGCAAAGATTTCTAGATATGACACAGAACCATAAAAAAAACAAATTGAGAAATTAAACTTCACCAAAATTAGCAAGTTCTGTTCTGTGAAATACACTATTAAAAGAATGAAAAGAAAAAATGAGTCCATCCCCACTATCCATTAATTTCCAGTACAAGAACAAATTCTTCATTTCTTAGCTTGACACACAAGGCCCTCTTTGAACAGATCCCTAAGAACTATCAGATCTCCCTTCTCAGATGGAAATGGAAGAATAGTGTTCTGCAAATATGCTAGAAGTTTACTAGAAGCCTGACTGGGTGTGGAATTGCCAGTGCTTATGATGTGTAAAGCTGACACTTTATCATAAAGAAGCGGTATCATGTGGAGTTCCCAGATGAAAAGTACCAAATCACAGGATCTTGAGTGAGACTCTGAAATCCCAGTGGAGCAAATGAAAAGAGGCAATCGAGTTCAATAGAAGCCAATGTAAAGAATGTCAGAGATGGGCTGAGTTCTTCACCACTGGTCTATAATGCTTCCAAAATGAAACCTGCTGTTCCCTCCCCATCCCCCACCCCCCATCTTCCTGGTTGCCCTCCACCTCTTTCTCCCAAATCCCCTAATCTCCAATCTCATTGAACCAATCTTAGTTCATTTCTTACTTGGGTGATAAGTCACCTAATTGCACTGTGCTCTAAGGCATGTTCCTCACAACAGTCACACTGGGCTTTCAAAATCACAGTTTGATCATGCTATTCTCCATTGATTTCCTTTCAGTGGTTCCTGTAACCTGTGCAATGGTCCAAACTCCTGAACACATAGCGGACAAGGCTGTTGACCACCTACCTAGCCCCATTCTTCCCTCTCAGCTGCACTTGTCATTTCTCTCTATAAAGCACATTCCATCCAAGCTAACCTCCTTGCAAGTTGTTAACTAAGCACATTCCTAACCTCCTCGATGTTGCAAATATTGTTCTATTTGGGGTGCCTCGTAAATTCATATCAGTACTTCACATTCCAGTCCAACGGCACCTTCCTTGACCACAGTTAATAATAAGCCTGTACAATACCAGTTAGTTTTTGTTTAGCACCATGTGTCAGATACAATTCCAAATCCTTTACATATTTTAACACTATTTTAACCGTGCCAACAACCTAGGAAGAAACGGAGGCAGAGGAGTTAGCAGTTGCTGCCCCTTCAGTGAACAGTACTTATGGAATTTACTTATTTCCCTCCTTGATTTAAGTTCCTGGAGGGTAGAACTGTCCTCTTCACATTGGTGGCAGCTATGCTTATACAGCTCTGGCACATCACTGAAAAGGGAGGACTTCCACAAACAGCCTCTGAACACACGGCCAGGGCTGTGCCTTCGGGTTCCAACTGCAGCCTGAGAAACCCTTCCCAGCTGTTGCCCTCTAAGGCAGTGGTTCTCAACCTTCTGGCCCTTTAAATACAGTTCCTCACGTTGTGACCCAACCATAAAATTATTTTCGTCGCTACTTTATCACTGTAATGTTGCTACTGTTATGAATCGTAATGTAAATATCTGGTATGCGGGATGGTCTTAGACGACCCCTGTGAAAGGGTCGTTCGACCGCCAAAGGGGCCGCGACCCACAGGTTGAGAACCGCTGCTCTAATGTCCCCCGAGCCTGTGAGAAGCATAATGAACATGTTTAGCGTCAGTCCCGGGTGAGCTTAAGGAACCTGCAGGTATTCACCAAGCGGTTCTGCTCCAGTATATGCACATCCTCCTAGATGCCACCAAGCTTTTCTGCAGCGGACTTAAGTTTCCACACATTTCCACGCACCCAAGAGGCATTCAAAAAATATTCGTTGGTCAACGATGACATTAAATACTCAGGCTAAGAATTCTCAGGAAAGGAATAAGGAGCTTACTTTTCTCTCTCAGTGGGTCCATTTCTGCGGCCATTGGGATGAAACTTGAGTTTGGAGCATTCACCACCGTTACTTTCCTCAAAAAGACACAGGACTCGTGTGCGGGAAGACAAACCTAGGGCGCCGCTCCGGACGTTGCCCAGCGTTGTAATCTGCACCCGACTCCCGCGGCGCCCACGGGGGCCGCGCCTCCTCCCGAGTCCCAGCCGAGTCCCTCGCACGGGAAAGAGACTTCAGCTTTCAGGTTTGCTGGGGACCCGCCAAGTGCATTCTGTCCCGCGTTCACACGAATCTCAGCCGGGTGGGACGGGACGCGGGTGGGTACAGGCGTCCAACGGGTCACTCGGGGTCGTGTCGGGCCACCTTCCAGAGCGCGGAGGGCGCCGGCGGGCGGCCCGGTGGTGGCGTCCCTCGTGGAGGGAGTGGCGACTTCAGGGTGGCCGGGCCAGAGCGGAAGTCCAAACGGCCCGCCCTGCGACTTTGAAACCGGTGCCCTGGACCGCTCCTAGGAGACGGTGATGCCGCGTGCGTCCGGGCGTCAGCGCTAACGTCATCACGCTTCCTAGCGTCCTCGCACGCTATACGCTATTGGCTATTTGTCGGAGCTGTGGGAAGGGGGATGACAGCCAGCTGAGCCGGCGGAGTGGTGGCGGGAAAGCTGGCCGGCCTGTGTCTTCAGGTGGGGGGACCCAGCTGGTTGTTTTTTTTTTTTTAAGAAAACCCCCAAAATCTAAACCTAGGTAGGTTATTAGGTCATTAAATAGATGTTTACAATTCCCCTAGACTTCTGGACTGGGAGAACCCGCTCTCCAAAGTGGGGAGGGGGAGGTTTGGAAAGGGTCTGGGGGGAGGGGGGGGGCGTGCAAAACTCAGACTGGCGTCTTCAGAGGCCACACCAAGGCTGACCCGCTGGAGGCTTTCTGAGTGAGGACTCGGTAATCTCCAGAAACGAAGTACCGTCCTCACCCTCTCCGGTCTTTGGAGAAAGGAGACAGTTGTTTGAATATTTAACTGAGTAGCAATGAGGCATGTAGTTAGAAGTACTCCAAAGGCCCTGCAAATTCAGCACTTGTTTCTCTAGAGATAACTTTCTTCCCCCAAAGGGGGAAAGACAAAAATTACATTTTTGCAAGAAAAGAATTAGGCAAAACTTTACATCTATGGGCGGATTACAATTCCCATTATTAAAAATTGATTTTGTCTGGATTTAAACCCTATCATTTTTTTTCAACAGTTAGCATTGGAGGAAATTTCAATGCTAGCAATATAAATGTTACCTTGAACTAGCCAATAGTTTTAGTGCTTTTTAATAGACTGTTTTTATGGATTGAAGTAGTTTCACTGAACAGACATGTCATAGATGTAGCTCAATTTGGCTTTTTCTTTAACAGTTAAATTTTGTGGTCCTGTGCTCATAATGTTATATACACAAAGTAATGTTAGCAGAATGTATTGAGAAATTTAAAAAATTTGTCCAACGGTGTATTTGAAGGTACGTATTTGAAGTCCTGTTATGGGCTTTCTCCATATTCATTATTAAGATAATATGATGGTCCCTGCCTCTAAAGCAGCGGTTCTCAACCTGTGGGTCGCGACCCCTTTGGGGGTCGAACGACCCTTTCACAGGGGTCGCCTAAGACCATCAGAAAACACATATATAATTACATATTGTTTTTGTGATTAATCACTATGCTTTAATTATGTTCAATTTGTAACAATGAAATTGGGGATCACCACAACATGAGGAACTATATTAAAGGGTCACGGCATTAGGAAGGTTGAGAACCACTGCTCTAAAGATTAATTATGTTAATTATGGAGGTATGTCTAATGACCAGACAAAAGTTTAATTTAGCTTTGAGTTAGTGAAGATTGACCTTGATTTGGCTTTTAGCAGCCATTAAATTAACATTAAAACTTGTTGAAAGGAGAAATTGAGTGTGCAAGCTCCAACTTTTTCAAAGGTCAGTGTATGACTTTTTCTTCGTGAACTTCTCGCTGACTCCTCAAGGGTTTGCTTGTACCTTCTCTTACATTTGAATCTTGAATACTGTCATATTGTGGTTTAAGTTGGCATCAAACAAGTAGGTATAAACTTGGTTCTACATTTACACTGAAAGTCGATAAGATATATTAGTGTTGGTGAAAGCAAAGAGCAAGCACATCCTGGATACCTCTAATCCTATATAGAAACAATAAGTCAACATTGTTGATGGAGATAGTAAATGTAGGCAACTAGGTCGATAAATACTGAAACTGCTTGGACAGATGGAACTGAACTAACCAGAACCAGGTGTACATCTCTAGAACATTTAACCGTATTTTATGATCTCAAGGGTCAGTCAGACTACCTGTTTCATAGTCTTGTTTTCTATAAGATAACCACTTCAGTTCAGAAAGTACCAATAATACCCACCGGCACAAACTTTGAAATGAATTTATTGCATGAACAGACGTATAAAAACTAGAATAATAGGGTTGATATTTTAAAAATATTGTAATTAAGTGAAGATTATGAGACTGAAAATATCCCTTATGCTCATGTAATTGAGTAAAATATTAAAAATTTCAGAAAAAAGCAAGTTTATAATCAATTCATGATCAATATATTGTACATATAACTTTTAAAAATGAAACTGTGAAAGGTGAAATTTAGTCCAGCTTTTTACCCCTTCTATTTTTAAAAAATTTATTTTTACTGTTGTATTACAGATGTCTTCTTTTCTATATTTATTCTGTAATTTATATGGAACAATACAGAACTATTCCATTATTGCAGAAAGAGGTCAAGATATAAAGCTATTTGAAAATCTACCTTTTCTATGTTACCAAAGACAGCAGCTGTTATTTTCTATTAAGAAAACACCCATGCCAACAATTGCTAGTCAAAGAACATTTTAGGACTTTTACTTTTCACTGTTGTTTAAATATAAATATAAATATATATAAATATATATAATATACTAATATGTAGATATATACAAATTTAAGATATATACAAATTTAATTCTTACAAAAACCTTTTAAGGTATGTGCTATTTTAAAATTATTTTATAACTTTCTGATTATAACAACTAGAAAGTGTCTGAATTGGGATTTGAATCCAGGCACTCTGGTTCCATTGTCACCATTGTTGACCACTATGTAGATGTAATTTACAGCTAGGGTAATACTATTTATAGCTGGTATAATATAATTTCCAGGTTTGGCTTATATAGCCAATTAGCATTTAGTTGCATTTAGTGAATTATCATTGTACATGTTCTATTTTAATCTTAATTCTTTGCAGTTGATTTTAAAGTTGTTGCACAGGATTTATATTGTGGGGTTACTCTTCCCTCTAGAAAACCGTTCACACTTCAAGAGTCTTCAGATGTTCACTGATGGTCCTTCAACATTTTTCTTTCCTAGAAAAATCAGGTGTCTGCTTCGGTCCTCCACGCTCCACCCCTAGAATGTGTAGGCAGCTGGGCGGAGCCTAAGCTGAGTCCTCTCCATTGAAGTCAGCTGGATGTAGCAAGCCTGGTGGAGGAAGAGCTTCCTGGTCTGTGTTCTCTTATGTTTTTTTTGTTGTTGTTGTTGTTGTTTTCTTTTTCATTCTCATTCCTTGCACCTTCCCCCATTCTTGTCGTTAGCTTTTTCTCTGGTTACTTACTCAGCTGCCTCTTCCTGCTGGCATAGTTTACTCCCTCTCCGGCCTGACTTCCTCATTTCTCCTTTTCTCTTTAAACTGGAGGGGAAGGGCTGTGTGTGTATGTGGAGAATGGAAACGGAAAAGAAATAAGTTTTGTAGAAAACTAAGGAAAATTTTGTGAAATTGTCCTTGCAACGTTCTGTTGAGAAACACCTTTTCCATAATTCTCTTCTTTTAACCTTCCTGGAATTTCCCCCCTCTCCTAAGCTTTTAATACTCTGAACTTCTTTCTCCTCTTTCTCCCTTCACGTCCTTTTAAATGGCTTTGCATATAGGGAAAGCATGAAAATAATTTAAAATTAATTTTGACCTTTTTTGATGAAAGAGTAATTTGAAGAATAGCAGTTAAAATGTGGGGAAAAAACAGGATTAATAGTAAACATTCTTTTAAGAAAGTTTAAGAGCCAACATTAAAATTACATAGCAAGGTGGTGATCACCTTGAATGAATATATTCTTTAAGTAATGTTCCTAATATCCATTCTGACTTTTTAGACAGGTTCAGCATACATAATATAAAGGAGAAAAGAGGTAGTTACCATACACTTTAAAGACACCTAGCCTTCGCTCTGACCAGTGTTTCTCAGTGGTTAGAGTGTCTGCCTGTGCATCAAAGGGTTGCAGGTTAGATCCCCAACCCAGGTTGGGGCTCTTGCCACAGACAATGTGTCTCTTTCATCTCTCTCTCTTTCTCTCTCTCTCCCTCTCTCCCTTCTACTCTCTCTAAAGTGCAGTGGAAAAAATATCCTTGGTTGAGGATTAACAAAAAAAAAAAGGAGATAGACCTAGCCTTAAATTAGACTTTAACAAGAGCTTTAAATTATTTATGTATTTTTGAATAGTAATGTGTATCTATCATAGTATAAATTCAAATAGATAAAAAATAAACAAACAATAAAGTGATATTGTTGAAAGTAAGTCTCCCTTCCTCCCCTGTGTTAGGTAGATCCAAAGAGGCAACCACTGCTGCCCTGGCTTGTTTATGCTTCCTGAGATACTGTATGCATTCACAAGCATACCTGCAATTAGTCTTCCTTTTTATTAATTGAATACTTACTTTTTTGCACCTTTCTTTTTTCCACTTATTATATTTTAGATGTATGTATAGAGGTGCCTCACTTTTTAACAGCTATGTAGTATTTCCTTATATGATATAGTATATTTTCTGTACCAGTCCTCTACTGATGGGTATTTAAATTGCTTACAACATTTTGTTATTCTAAACAATGTTTCAGTGAATATTTTTACACTTATGTTACTTTGAATATGTGCAGGTCTAATAACTTCTAGAACTAGAATTTTTGAGTCAAAGGATGTTTGCATTTTTTATTTAGATAACTATTGAGGGGTTGCCCTTGACAAAGGCCGTGCCAGTTATGCCCCAACAGCAGAGTGTGATTGCTTCTCATTGTCCTCATTAGCATGTTATCAAACTTTCCGATCCTTGAAAATCTAAGTGAAAAATAGTAATTTATTTTTTTATTTTGCATTTATTTAAAAACAAACAATTTATTGATTGATTTCAGAGAGAGAGAGTGGAGGGGGAGAGAGAAAGAGAGCAAGACAGAGACACATTGATTTGGTGTTTTTATTTATGCATTCATTGGTTGCTTCTTGTTTGTACCCTGACCGGAGGTTGAACCCTCAACCTTGATGTCTCAGGTCAACACACTACACTCTAACTAACATGCTACACACTAACCAACTTCTATCATTATAAGTGAAGTTGAACATTCCGCATTTTCTTTCTGTGAATTAGCTGTTCATATCTCTACCCATTTTTCTGTTGGGATTTTGGTCTTCTCCTTATTGACTTCTAGGAGCCCTTTAAAGATTAAATAAATTAGCCGTAACCGGTTTGGCTCAGTGGATAGAGCGTTGGCCTGCGGACTGGAAGGTCCCAGGTTTGATTCCGGTCAAGGGCATGTACCTTGGTTGCAGGCACATCCCCAGTAGGAGGTGTGCAGGAGGCGGCTGATCGATGTTTCTCTCTCATCGATGTTTCTGACTCTCTATCCCTCTCCCTTCCTCTCTGTAAAAAATCAATAAAATATATAAAAAAAAAGATTAAATAAATTAGTTATTTGTCTGAAATATGAGTTGTAGATATTTTTCTCCAGACTATGTTTTGATTTTGAAATGGTGAGGGTTTTATTTTTTGGTGGGGATAGGCAGACTTCTGCTTTAAGCCAAATGTATCTATCCATTTTTTTTGTTTGTTTGTTTATATCTTCTGGATTTGGGGTTATATTTTAAAAGGCTTTTTCTACTATTGTCTTTTTTTAAATCCTCCCACTTTTTTCTTTCTTGTTTTTATATGGCTTGATTTTTATGTTTAAATCTTTGATTCATTTGAAACTTTGTTTGGTGTAGGGACCCAACTTTATTTCATTGGTCTGCAAAAGTGAACCAATTGATAATGGACCTGGTTGATTAGCTCAACTCCCCATAGACGTCTTTCTTATACTTTACTTCCCTAGCACCTGGCATGGTGCCTGAAAAACTGTAAGTAGCTAATGAATCTTTGATAAACTAAATTGAAAGGAAATTTCTTGATACATCATCTCAGTTATCTGTCATTTTGGTATGTAGTGTTGAAAGAGAAAATGATACCACTAACACAGTTGATTTCTCCTTCATAAAACCTCAGAGTCATGAAATTTTAGATCCAGAGACTAGAACAATTATTCACTCAACAAATAACTGAGTTCCTGTTACAGGCATTCTATATGGGAAAGCAGAGACACTAAACAAGTAGGTCATGTGGTTTCAGTGCTGTGAGTCAAAATGGGTGCAGGGGCAATAGAGAATGACAGGGAGTCCAGTGCTCCTGGAAGCACACCAACCTGGACTGAAAAAGTGCATTGACTATTTAATTGTCTGGGTACATGTGCAAACAAGAAATTGAAAGGTGGTGGAGGTTAAGCCTCAGGAGACAGTCCTGGGTATCCCCAGGGAGTTGAAGAGATAATCATTTGTCTCTTTCTGGGTCCATGCTATATTTAGATTAGACTGTAAACTAGTTGGCAAGACTGTAATTGTTAGGGTAATTTTACTATCAATATTATGCATGGTTGGACTGACATGAGTGTTCTTTAAGCAGATTAACAAATTTGTTGTTCAGATAAGAAAATAAAGTAATTTTATGCAATTAAAGCCAAAACTATATTCTACCCTTGGTCATGTCAACCATGACTCTCCTCCCTGATCGTGGAAGTCTAGTCAATATTTCTGGCAGTAATTTTCAAACAATGCTCAAAAAACAACAACAAAAAACTTAGGGGAAAAGGCATAAGGAACTGGTAGAAAGACTTGAGGTACCACTGTCTTATACTCTTTGCTTTTATCTTTTAATCTCTTATCCTTCGGATAAGATTAGATTTGGAAATAATTTGAAATCTGACCGCCATGTGTGCATGCAAGTGACAGGCCACTTTTAGGAGCTCATCACTGAATATGGCTTAATTCCAATTAGAGATAGAGATGATTGTCTGAAAAAGCTGGAAGTTGAAAATTTTCTAGTGGAAACCCATTGAATAGAATTGGGGACCCTTTAATGTGTGCAGCATTTTGTGGATATGATGCTTGTATGGAGAATGAGTAAATCTACTAACATTTCTTAGTTGCTGAGCTATGTTTTGCCAGGATTGTCAAATTCCAAGTTAGGAAAATAGCATGTTCCCTCAGTATATTGCCACCAGAATCAGCTTTAATGAGCATTTCTAATATCTTGATTTATTCTTATTTCTTCCTATATGTAATAAGAAGATACTTACCAAAATTTGGGGTAGAGGATATAGATTTATTTTTGAAGAAGGTATCTAGATATTTTAACTAAAGAAAATTTATTATTAATGTTTTATTCCATGCAAGTCAGGACTAAAGTCCACATAAATCAGGATCAATTTATATTTATAGTCTTATCACTCACTGAGCTTATTTCAATATAAATTGTTAAACTTATCCTTTTCTAATATGCTTTTACTTGCAAATGGGTTGTAATACCAGAACTACTTTTTAATTTTAGAGTTTATCTCCCATTGACTCCCTCCAACCTCTCCCCCCCACCCCCCACCCCCCACCCTTGCCCCAGGTCTTCAGCACCCTATTGTATGTGTTCATGGGTTATGCATATATGCATACAAAGTCATTGGTTGACTACCTCCCCCCCTCACCTTTCCCCCCACCTTCCCTCGGAGATTCCACACTCTGTTCCATGCTTCCAGTGTTTATTGCTTTTAGAGAGAGAGGAAGGGAGAGAGGGGGAGAGATAGAGATAGAGATAGAGACAGAGGACACTGATGTGAAAGAAGCATCTATTGGTTGCCACCATATGCACCTGACCGGGTGTAGAAACTGCAACCTAGGTATGTGCCCTGACTGGAAATGGAACCTGCAACCTTTTGGTGTATGGGATGATGCTCCAACAACTGAGCCTGGCCAGGGCACTACATACTTTAGAAAAAGGTTTTCAGAGATGTTGGATTCCTTATGTGACACAGAGCTTATATATTTGGATCTTCCAATGCTTGACACATAGCTAGTACTCCATACACATTCAATGAAATAAATGTATTGAAAATTTAGTACTTTACTACTTGCAATAAAAATAACATATGAAACAAGGAAATGCCTTCAAAGATTTCAGGTATATAAATTTCAGTGTGAAAATATCATCATTTACTAATCAAGATTCTCCTCTGAACATGGCATATGAATCTAGTATAATTTGGAGAATTCACTACCCCTAAAATAAGGTTTTCATCTCCCTCCAGATTCCTAAAATGACTCCATCTGGGTAAACATGGCTGGCATTGTTTCAATTTCTTGATTTGCCTGCTATGTGACCTTCAACAAGTCAGTTCCTTCTTTTGTACTGAGGATAATAATAGTTCATCTGCTAGTTTCTAGTGAAATTAAATCAGATGTTTATAAAATGCCCAATTTGTAGTTTTCAACAATATGTAATTTTATTAATATAATAATGTGTCCTTCCATTTAATCTTTGGAAAAACAGTATAAAATGCAAATACTGCTTGTGTCACTTTTTGATATTTCAAGTGTTAAATGACCAAATTGCTTGATTAATCTCTTTTCACCCTTAGAAAAATGGAAAAAGAATCTTTCAGCATTTAAACTTTGAAATAGACTAAGAAGCCCAGCTATTAGCAGGCTCAGAGGTTGAGAGTTGACCCAGGAACCAAGAGGTCACAGGTTCAATTCCCCGTCAGGGCACATGCCCACATTGCGGGCTTATCCCCATAGGGGACGTGCAGGAAGCAGCCAGTCAATGATGTTTCTCTCTCGTCGATGTTTCTATCTCTCTATCCCTCCCTTCTTCTCTCTCTCTAAAATCAATAAAAACACATTTAAATTTTTTTGAAATAGATTAAGAAAATCTATACCCTGAGAACAAGGAAGACAATATTAAAGTTTACTAACCTTCAAATAGTTGGAGTCCCCTTCCCCCCCCAAAGAAAAACAGGGTTTTAACCAAAAGAATAGGTACTAACAGAAATGCTTCTGCTGAATGATAGAATATTTTATTCAAATTGAGTTTTATTTTAAAGATCTTGGTTCTCAAGGGACCCAATAGTTTAGACACCTGCACATTTTACAGTAAATGACAAAGAATGGCATAAAAACTCATAATGCTTATAGTTGTTAAGTACATGAACAGTTTCTGCAGTGGGCTTAATTACAGTTGTAAAAAGAAACAATTTTGGGTCTAGACTTAAAGTCTCAAAGCTTTTTGGGTCCAACTACCTAGTTTACGGTAAAACTCAGTGTCCATTATTTTGCCATAGCACAAATGGCCTTTGGACTCTCAGAACCCTCTTCTCATCACGCTGCTGTCGTCCTGCTGGCTTATTGGAAATTTTCACTTCATTTCTGACTAAAGGAAACATTTCTATATTGTTAAAGAGTTTGTTTTAATATGTCTTTTTTTTCCTTTAGTGTCTAAAGATGGATTTTAAAATTGAACACACTTGGGATGGTTCTCCAGTGACGCATGAACCAGTGTTTGTCAGGCTGAACCCAGGTGATGGAGGAGTGATGTTGAAAGTTAGTGCTCCATTTTTCAATGATCCTCCAGCCCCGCTTGGAGAACCAGGAAAGCCTTTCAAGGGACTGTGGGATTATGAAGGTAAGTGGAAGTACGGTGTTTTATTGCAGACATAAATCTTTTTATAATAACCTCTCACAGAGCTATTATTTTATCTTGCTGTAAGGAAGTGAGTGCTTCTGAGCAACTGACATATGCAGTGTGTGATATTTCCTACCAATCTCTCATTCTGACTTTTTCACCATTACCTATGCGACTTTAACTCTATAACTAGAACAGTGAAAAATGGCAATTACAAATCCAGACTTCCAAATTGCTGCCATATGTCCTTCCTTTACTTCTGTTACCTAGTCTGAGAAGAGTTCAGCATTCTTGTTTTGTCTTCAGATTGCCACTTTAACCTTATAAACCTTCTTTATGGAAGTTTTAGGGTGTTTTACTTATTATAGAAACACTATCAACTTCAATATGAAATGTAGTTTTTATTTTATATGTACTGACAAGTAATCTCACATATCAAACGAAGGTTAAAAGACACCATAAAATTACACTTTCAGGTTTGCTATATGATCCCCGTCTAATGTCTCCTAATTAAGCTACCAAACTTATCTTTGTAAAAAGACTTTATGATGCCATTCCCCAGATCACAAACCATTACTATTCCGGAGATAAAGTTCAAATCCTTCCTTTAAACTTTCTGGGGACTCATGAATGGGGCTATCATATTCAACCAAAACCTCTTGATTTCTAAAAGGCTACTATCCATGCACATTCTCACCCATGTACCTTTTCTCATTCTATTCCTCCTGCGTCTAATGCACTTAGTCTAAATCAAGTTCCATTTATTCAAAGAAACCTTTTTTTTTTAATTGATTTTAGAGAGGGTTGGGGAAAGAGAGAAAGAGAAACAGCCATGTGAGAGAGACACAGTGTTCAGTTGCCTCTAGAATGCGCCCTGACCGGGGTTTGAACCCACAACCTAGGTATGTGCCCTGACTGGAAATTGAACCCGTGACCAGGTATGTGCCCTGTCCTGGGATTGAACCCATGTCCTTCCAGTGCACAGGACAGCACTCCAACCAACTGAGCCATATCGTCCAGGGCCAAAGAAACCTTGGATGATTCTTCTAGTCCCTACTAACATCTACTTTATACCATCTGTATGCCATGCATTTTGTCAAGATTAATTTATAAAATGTTAACCATATGTTGTCTATTACTGATACAGAGCTTGTATATATCACTTTCCCATTGGTGTACACACTAGTGTGACTTATCTACTCAACAAGTACCAAACTCAACTTATCCACTTTTCTCATAAACCTGCTCTTTCCCTAATTGCCCAGTCTCAATCAATGGCAGTCAAATACATCAAATCACTGAACATAGAAATGTGAATTTTTTCGAAGATATTCCCTCACTCTCTATGTTTGGATTTATCTACTAAGTCATACCAATTTTCCCTCCTAAATGTTTCTCTATTTCAGTACCCCTTCTTCATTCCCATCATCTCTTTATCATCTTTTACCTCAAATAGGACAGAGACTTCTAAATCGTCTTTGCCCTTAAGTTTATCCTTCTCTATTGAAAGCCAGAGTGATCTATCAATAGGGGAATAAGGGGACCTCTGTAATACTTTCAACAATAAAGATACATTTAAAAAGAAAAATTTAAAGTCATCATTCAGCTACTTAAAAACCTTCTCAGGCTTCTGCTCCTCCCCAGATAAGTTCTTCTTAATATGATTTCTATATAAGAATTTTCATGACCTGGCCCCTTATTCTCTTTGCAGCATTGAAAGGTTTACTTATTTGCTGATTTGGTTATTGCTCTGTAGCCTACTTGTCAAATATCATGGATATGTTTTCATATCAAAAAATATTTAACTGTCTTTGATTTTAATGGTTACATACATAGAATACATAAATTCCATAATTATATGGTAGCTTTCCTATATAATAGAAGATTTATTTATATAATAGGCAATGATCCTATATAATAGGAGATAACCATTTAGGTAATATCTAATTTTTGAGCAATACTTTGATGAATAGCATTATATTTACTTATTTTTCTAGTTGTCTGATTATTTCCTTAAGATAGATTATCAGAAAAAGATAATTGGCCTAAAGTCTATATGATAATGTTGATTTCTTTACAACCTCACCAGCACTAGGCTTTACTCATCTTTTTAATTTATGGCAATCTGATATGGAAAAATTTGATGGTAATTTATTTCTTAGCAATGTCTATTTATTTTCTTTGTCCCTTCCCTACTGAGGATACAGCTATAATTAAAAATAATGAGTTAATTTATTTTATACTCTAAAGGAATAAATAAATAATTTTTGTTGAAGCATAATTAAATTCTCAATATTTTATATCTCTGTTTTCAAAAGTTGTAGAAGCATTTTTCTTGAATGACATAACTGAACAGTACTTAGAAGTTGAACTTTGCCCGTAAGTATAAAATTTTTTTTTCTAACTCATTACTATATTACTTGAACACATTGTTTTCTAGGTATAAATCATGTGGTCATAGTAAACATTTACTAATTTCAATAAACTAGGGCAAATGCCAATCTGAACTATGTATAATTTCTTATTTTCAAATAACTGTATAATTTAAAATGTATGTTTAAAACAGGTTTGGCAAAAATAGGTTTAAAGTTGTGAGTATGCAAAACAGAGTTTATTTTTATATTATTATTTATTAATTATTGTATTATTTCCCATACAAACAATTGTAAGCCTACTTTTGTCACACTCTGTATATATTACAGATATTTGAAAATAGTACGTTGATGTTATTTTAATTTTACTATGTAGTTGGTCTTTTTAATAAATTTGAAAATAATTTTTTTTGCAAATGAATATTATTATAAAACAGAAACTCATTATTTATTCTATAAATTGGCATTATGTCCTAGCTACTCAGAAATAGAGACATATAGATATAATAAATTAAACTAATTTATGAAAATGTTTCTTTTAGGAAATTTTTTAAATAACTACATTACACTTTCATTTTATGTATTTGTTAATAATGTATTCACGTGTTTCTTCACTTAGTCCTCATTTTTTTAAATTTAAATTCTTTATTGTTTAAAGTATTAAATGAGTCTCCTTTTTCCCCCATTGACCTCTCCCCGGCCACCCCCATCCCCCAGCACAAGCCCTCACCCCCCTACTGTCTGTGTCCATTGGTTATGCTCATGTGCATGTGTACAAGTCCTTTGGTTGATTTCTTGCCCCCTCACCCCCCGCCTTCCCTCATAGGCTGTACAGTAGTCCTCATTTAGTTATTGAGTGTGTACTATGTCACTTTGTGTTCAGTGCCAGGGATAAATCACACATGGTTTTTGCTAGACTTATTTAAAGTGTTAACCTTGGACTCTCTTTGTTCAAATTTAACCATTCCTTTGGTAACCTTCTTTACCTAGTTGACAATATTTGTCCTGTAGATATGAAAAAATGAATTTATGCCCACCTCTCATCTATATTATAACAAATTTTAAGTTAGTAAAATATTGAGTAATGAATATTTTTTTTGTATTGTGATTATCCTTTTAAATGGCATTTAAATGTCTTTCAGTATCTAGTATCCATTAGCCTTTGTCCCTTTGTAGGCTGGGCAGAAGTTCCAATCAATTTAAACAAAATTTTAGATATCATTTTCTTTTCCCTTAATTTGATTTTTTTGCTAACTCTAATGTGGAAAATGTAGCTGTTTCCAATTATATTTTTCAGAGGAATAACCTAGTATCTTTGTATGTTACCTTTCAACTAACATGCCAAAATATTTTATTGAAAAATATGATTGTCATAAACTGTCACATGAGTAAAAAAAATATTCACCCATTGTGTGATTATTTTCACCATACAGGGGAGAAAGCTAAGGCAAATAGATTTATAACTTGTCTACAAGACAGTAAAGAACTTGGATCTACTAGAATTCTAAAGTTTCATTCTTGGTTTTACTTTTATTAGATAAAAATACCAGTTTATTTTCATAAAGAGATTACTTAGCACTGGATGAATAGGATAATTAGATTCTCTTTTGTTAAGATATTACATAATAACTATTATGTACAAAATTAATAAGTTCTAAAAATTAAAAAAAATCCTTAAAGTAGTTTGGTTTCATATATATCAGGACAGTCAATAATCAAGAATCAAGGTTTTGCTTCAGGCAATCAATTCCTGTAACAATTAGTCTCTAGGAAAACAATGTGAAGAATATTATTGTTTTCATTTACAAGAACTTTTACTTCTCCTAGGATATTATTAAGCTTGCATCATAACAATAAAAATAAGCAGAGGAAAGAATACTTGTCATGTGTTAGAATAGTTTTCGGAAGGAAATCCTCCCTGAAAAGCTTACAATAGACTATCTGGATAGAAGTGTTTAGATATAGTCTTTTCCAGAGACAATAAATTTCTTTCATGTAACTACTCGAAAATCTTTGATTCTTATTGACCCGCTAGTCCCAATTATGCTCTTTTATTAGACTTTCCTTTTGAGGATATGTTGTGTTTCTCTTTGAAAATGTGACATTGGTGTCTGAACTAATGGCAGAAAGCAGGAAAACACAAGAGGCAGACAGATACAGTTTTAGACAACCTATATTTTATATTTTCTTTATTCCTCATGAGCTTCAATACAGTTTTCTTATAGAAATAACCTTTAGTAAAGTTGTTGGATTCACCTGGAAATTGGTGCCAGCTTCTCTTAGGGTACTTTTGTTTTTGAAACTAGTTTTATTATAAACTAGAGGCCGGCCCAATGCACAAAATTCGTGCAAGAATAGGCCTTTCTTCCCCAAGCTACCAGCACCGGCTTCCCTCTGGCACCTGAGACCCGGGCTTCCCTCAAAGCCCCAGCTTCCTCTGGAAGGACTCTGGTCTAATTAGCATATTGCGCTTTTATTATTATAGATGCCAAATACTATAATATCCCCCACCCCTTTGCTGAGTTTTCATCTTCTGACTGAAATCTTTTATATAATTTTATATTTAAATAATATAAAAAGCAATCTGAACATGTGTAGCTTTTTAAAAAAATATATATTTTATTGATTTTCTACAGAGAGGAAGGGAGAGGCATAGAAAGTTAGAAACATCAATGAGAGAGAAACATCAATCAGCTGCCTCCTGCACACCTTCTACTGGGGATGAGCCCACAACCAAGGTACATGCCCTTGCCCAGAATCGAACCTGGGGCCCTTCCATCTGCAGGCTGACGCTCTACCCACTGAGCCAAACCGGTTAGAGCAGTGATGGCGAACCTCTGACACGCGTGTCAGAGGTGACACTCGAACTCATTTTTTTTGGTTGATTTTTCTTTGTTAAATGGCATTTAAATATATAAAATAAATATCAAAAATACAAGTCTTTGTTTTACTATGGTTGCAAATATCAGAAAATTTCTATATGTGACACGGCACCAGAGTTAAGTTAGGGTTTTTCAAAATGCTGACATGCCGAGCTCAAAAGGTTCGCCATCACTGGGTTAGGGCCATGTGTAGCTTTTGACTATAATCATCTGGAAAATGATGGCATTTCTAAGTAACTGAACACACTGGCTCTTCCTATAATTATCCAGTATTCAATTTGCATCGTTTTTTTTAAAAATTGATTTCAGAGATGAAGGGAGAGGGAGAGAGAGATAGAAACATCAGTGATGATAGTCATTGATTAGCTGCCTCCTGCACGCCCCCTACTTGGGACCAAGCCCTCAACCCGACTCTTGACCGGAATCGAACCTGGGACCTTTCAGTCCACAGGCCAACACTGTATCCACTGAGCCAAACTGGCTAGGGCCATCTTTTGATTATTTGGAAATTTAGTTACATACATTGCAGATATAAAGAAGAGTGAAGAAAATAATGTTTGTTTCTTTAATACACTCATGAGGAATTTTAATTTCCACAGCCATGGACAACATTTGGTGCTTTTATTATCTGGAAGAAGAAATGTGTGGAAAGTAAGTAAATAAAAATATGAGACAAAGTTCTTAAGTGTATAAGATCTATGTATGCATTATAATATTTAATATGTATGTTTAACTTATAAATCTGAAATTACCTTTTATATTTCACATATCATTTCTGTAGCAAGAACTTGCTCTATCATTCGAAGTGTCCAGAGGAGAGACAAAATGGGAAGGCAGAGCTTATCTTCCTTGGAGTTATTTTCCACCAAACGTGACAAAATTCAATTCATTTGCAATTCATGGATCTAAAGATAAAAGAATCTATGAAGCTCTTTACCCTGTACCTCAGCATGAACTGCAACCAGGACAAAAACCTGATTTGTAAGTAGAAAATGAATGAAGATATGTTCCAACTGTGAGGGGTTTTTTGGAAATTAATTTTTGGTAGAGCAGTGATAACATTTTTCAGTCAAAGGAGACATGTGTACAAGCACCTAGTAGGGTACTGTGTTCCCTGATGGTTCTTAGTAAATACTTGACAGACTGTGGACCCGCTTAGTCTCTCTCTCTGCTATAAGTACAGCACTTATGTTTCCATGGCAATATGAGAAAAATCTTGCTCGGTGAATATTGCAACAGCTGCTATAGAAGTATTGTTACAAATTCATTTATCATCCCTTTCAGAGCTGACTGGCCAGAGACATTCAGATTGTTGGTGTGAACAAAGGGTTAATAAATTCTTTCCCTTGCTGCTTGAGAATATCACCTTCAATTAACTCTCTAGCTGTCTTCCCTTAGTAACCTTATAAGGATAAAAATGTCAACTAGGTTTTTGGGCAACATAACTTATAACAAAGATGACTCCTAATTGCTAAATTGCATCCAGACAGATAGTTTTATGAATAAATTATAAATACCTCAGCATCACTTTGGATTTCCCTTTAACAGTCCTATTCTCTGTGGAGACCCTAGAAGCTATGCCTGTGGACTTATTACAAGAGATATTGGCCCCTGTGGGCACCAGGCATGTAAGCCCAGGTATCTCCTACACTTGCCCAATTTGAGTCGTATCTCTTTGAAGCTGTCACCTAAGGAGAATATAGCTCCTGTCCCGCCATATGAATGCCTCATGGATTGCAGCAAGCTTTACTCCCTTGGGAAAGCCAGATTCTGTCCTAGGGCAAGCTGGGATTCCTGCTCTCTAGCTCTCTGAGTGTACTCAGTGTGGCCAAGACAGTCTGGCGAGTGTGTGTGTTCAGAAGAGCTAACAGAGACAATTGAGGACCTTTCACAGAGTGATAGGAAAGCATTCTGGAGACCCATGTATGGGAGGATGAGAAGCAGTGGTAAGATTTATTGTAGAAGCAAAATCAAAGGACTGCCCTGGATTCAGCTCTGTCCCGCTGTGAAAGAAGTCCAGCCTTGTCTTCATCAAGTCAAGAGCAAAGGCCAGTGCCCATGAATTCTGTGCCATTGGTTCAGTCAAGTTCAGTCCCTGTCCTCACTGACTCGCTTAGTCTGTGTTCACAGCTGTGCTCTGGCTGGCGCTGTGCCATGGTCACCATCTTGGTCTCTATTGGGCAAGCGCTTACCTCCCCCAGCACCATCTTGGCTTCTACTGGGCATGTGTCCAGCAGAGGAATTTCTCCAGCTGTTTTTCTTCTTCCCCTGGTCATGACCAATAATGGACCTTCCTGTCCTCTTCAGGGATTAGGACCCAATACAGCAGGCCCTTGGGGAGCCTGTGAATGCTCAACCTCCTACTGAAGCAGGCTCAGTGTCGGATTCAGCTTCCTAGTTTATTATACTTAATAATGTCTGATTCCTTTGCGCCCTTCCTTTATTAATATCTAGCTATCTTTGCTAACACTCGTGGACTTTGCACCATGGCGGACTGACTCTCCTGTCATTTTATCCCTGAAAATGCTGTCCTTCCTTTCCCTGTTTGCCTTCTCCTTCCTGTCATGCTCTTTCTTCACTCACTTTGCCTTCATCTCTTCTAGCCTATTCCTTTTTTTCTGCCTGACACACTTTGCGCTCTTTCCTCTTTTCTCCCCAGTCCTGACACTTCCTAACTAGCCTCCCTTCTTTTCTCTTAACCTTCACTGTTGGTTCCTGAACCTCTTCATCTGGGATTGACAGTTGAGACTCAAACTGGTTCAGTCTGGCCAGGTAAGCAGAATGGGCCCAGGATCTAAATGCAAGTGACTCAGGGCTCTTATATCAAGATGGCTTGTTTCTCTGGCTCTTTACCAGCTAATATCTTCTTATATTTTAGCCCCTTAGTGCTATAATATGTTCGACTCCTCAATGTATTTGTTATTGGAGGCTTACCCTAGGTAAAAGTGCGACTATGCCGTTGGCCAGGGCCCAGCCAAGGCAGAGTGATCTGCTGCAGAGCTGAGTTCCACTGCAGCATGTTAGCTAAACCTTTCTCTGCCAATTAAACCACAATAGAAATCTCCATAATAGTTAAAGGACGTTCCCAGGAAGAAAAGAGCTAGGATTAACACTCTTTCAACCTCCTTTGCTTGGGCAAAGGAGTCTATCCTCTTATCTATGGAGCTGAAACTTCTAAAATAGTAGTTCATATGACTGATATAAAGTATGTCAAAGTTTAAATGTAAAAACATCTGTAAAAATATAATATGATTTGTTTAAGGCTAAATGGAATGAGTCAGGTTTTGAGGATACATTTTAAGTGCTTTGGGATGTGGGTGAATGTTTTCAGAGCTTAATGTTTGAGAGCTAGAGTGAGAAAATTATACATACAGAATATATCTTACCTTTGGTGTTCTTAAAATAGAATGTTGTCCTATCACAGATGTGACAGAATGAATAGCCTTTCAGGTCACCTATTTTTCAAATGCATAATTCATTTCAATTCCCACCTTCTTTTTCTTTGCATTTAGCCACCGTCTGGAATACTTCAAGCCTTTCAGTTTTAACACACTGCTTGGAGAAGAAGGGAAACAACCAGAATCTGACCTGTGGCTAACAGAGAAACCTGATGTATAGGAGTATAGTAGATGACCATATCAATCATTTCTTCTCTATACTTTTTAAGGTAAATCATCCTATATAATAAAAGCGTAGTATGCAAATTGTCCCCTCGACAGGGAGTTGTCTGGGAGGTCAACCAGGGGGCGGGGCCGGCCAGGGGAAGGGAGGGAGGCCCCGGCCGGCAGCCAGCAGCCGCTAGGGACCCTACCAGTCCATAAATTTCGTGCACTGGGCCTCTAGTAATAAATATAATCTCTTTCAAGTATAATGTGAAAACATTTCAACAATAAATATTTTCATAAAGGTCAATGAAAATATAGTATTTCTCTGACAAATTTTGTATAAATTAACAAGAAAATGGAAAGTTTGTAGATTATTATATCTATAAAGTTAAAATTTTTCTTACAGTCATTTAGTCCAGGAGCCACAGTGTCAATGAATTCTGTCATCTGCTTCACATCATCCTTACACTAAATATCCCTGACTCTGTCAATCAAATCATTATTTCTCTTCTCACTTCCCTAAACCTTAGCTAGCCTGAGATAGGAAAATCTTATTTTCACATTTTTGAACTCCATGTACATTAATTCTTTACTCAGAATCTTTTGTCCATTCTTGAACTGGGTAGAAAACAAGGATATATTTCAGTCGAATAGGAAATCCACATCTGTTAAGGCATCATTAAGATACATGTGTTATTTAAAGTAGCTATTTTTCCTGTCTTATGACTATTTTTACTTTGTAGAAGAAATGGAATTCAGATAACAGCTTCTGCTTTTATTTATAAAGAAATGCCATTTTCTGAATGCTAGTAAACAACGTGTTGAATGTACTCATTTTGTAAACATCAAAACATCATGGTCTACAATTTTTAAAATTTCTGTTATAACATATTTCGGAGCTAGAAGCAATCTAGTAAATCATTTATGAACTTCTCTACCTGTTCCTTCTCCAGCATTCTAAACTTAAATAATTAGCAGTTTTGCAGAAGAAACTTTAAAAAGAGAAATCTTTATTGTTGAAAGTATTACATATATCCCCTTCTTCCCCCCATTGACCCCTTCTAATCCAACCCTGCCCCCCACCCCAGGCCTTCACTACACTATTGTCAGTGTCTATGGGTTATGAATATATGCATACAAGTTCTTTGGTTGATCTCTAGAAACTTTATTACTTATGCAGATACCTAGTTCCTACCCACTACATACGTTTTCCTGTTCTTTACTGACAGTACATTAATTTTTAGGGGCTCTACTCAAAAACTACATTTTCCCAGATGCCTTTGCAGATAGAAATGACTCTATAAAACAGTTCACATCAATGAGATATGAGTATATAGTATCCGGTGGGGCTTAAAGAAAAGATGCTTTAAAGATGAAAGACTCAGCTGCCATACACATTTTGTCCTTCGCCCTCCCCTTCCTTTTTCCTGAGTTGCAGAATGAATCCCTGAGGTAACACACTAGCTTCATTGTGTCAGCAAGGAGCCAACCCAGGGATAGGTAGTTGAGTAGAAAGACAAAGGAGCCTGGGTTCTGAACTATGCAGTAGAGTAATATATCTGGACTGTCCAGCTATATAGGAGAGAATAAATGTCTAATTTGTTTTCCCCAAAGTGATTTATTGATTCAATGCAATCCAAGTTTAAAATCCTAGAAGGCTTTTTGGGGATAGAAATTGACAAGATGATTCAAATTTTGTGTGGAAATGCCAAAACAGTTTTGAAACACAATGAAGTTGGAAGACATATACTAACTGAATCAAGACTTGTTACTAATCTTCAATAGTGAAGACAGTATGACCTTGGCATAAATTTAGACAAATATATCAATGGAACAGAATAGAGAAACCAGGAAGAGAACTATGTAGAGTCAGTTGACTTGTGACAAAGGTGCCAATGCATTTAAGAGGGAAAGGATAGTCTTTTCAACAAATGGTGTTGGAATAACTGGGAAAAAAATGAAAAAAAAAATGAACCTTGACCTCTACCATACTCCAAAAGAAAAAAAAATGAACCTAAATGTAACTGGTAAAATAAAAAATTCTGGGAGAAAATCTTCACAATCTGCAGGAAACAAATTTCAAGTAGGACATAAAAAGCACTCACTAAAATAGAAAAAAAACAAATAAATTGGACTTTATCAAAATTAAACGCTTCTCATCAAAAGCCTTCAGTGAGAATGTGAAAAAGCAAGCCAAAATTGGATAAAATATTCAAAATACACGTATCTGCCAGAGGACTCTTACCTAGAATATGTAAAGAACAGTATCAGTAATAAAAAGACAAGCCAGTTAAGGAGCAAAAGAGTTGAACAGACACTTCCCAGAGGAAAGCATACAAAAGGCCAATCAGTATATAGAAAGGCTCTCAACCTCACTTATCAAAGAAATGTGAATTAAAACCACAGGAAGATGCTACTGAATGACTAAAATTACAAAATACGCAATGGCTAACTGGCTAAAAAACAAACAAACAAAAAAAAAACAGCAAAAAACAACAACCCTGAAAATGAGAACATGGAGTAACTGGGTTTTCAACATTGTGGGTAGGAATGTAAATGGTACAACCACTTGGGAACTATTTGGCAATTTCTAGTATAGTTAAATACATTCCTACCCTATGATTGAGCAGTTTCATTCTTAGATATATACTCAAGGAAAATGAATGTTCTTAGCAGCTTTATTCATAACAGCGCCAAACTGTAGACAATCTCAAATTTCCATCCCCAGGAGAATAGATAATCTGATAGAGTCAGACAATGGAATACTACTGGTAAAAAAGAATGGCCTGTTGATGCATGCCAAAACCTAGATGAATCTGAAAAGCATTATGCTGAGAAAAATAAATCAGAGAGAATATACTGTATAATTATTTTTATGTGAAGGCCAATTATACACAAAACTAGGCTATCCTGAATGAGAACCACAGCTGTTCAGCATAAGGGCAAGGGATTCAAATGACCTGGAAAAGGGGCATGAGGGAATTTTCTGGGTTGAAATGTTTTGTGTTTTGATCTGGATGATGGTACCTGCATACAGTTGTCAACATTCCTCAAGCTGTATATATTTTAAGATTTGTGGTTTTACTATATGTAAATTATTCCTTAATAAAATGCTGTTATAAAATAATCTGTAAATGGTGTTCACTTCAAGTTTATGCTGTTCCATTAAATAATCATTAGTGCTGGTTAAATGTGACTTATCAACTGACTTTTTTTCTTTCAGTTATTAAATATCTTCTCTATATGAAAAGAGCTGGTGTAAAAAAATGCTGACTTTTACAAGAAGCACTATAACTACATATCATGGTGACAGTGTTAAGCGTCTTTGATTAAATACAGAAGTTATATTTGCAACTAACTAATTTGATATGGTAACAATCTGCCAGTTTTGGATAGGAAAGGCATATTTTAAATAATCTAGGGTGATTTATTTATGTTACCTGAATAATTTTACAAATGCATATAAAAAACTCTTAGGACAGGGGTGGGCAACCTTTTTGTGAGTGCGTGCCAAAACCAGCAAAATCTCTGACTCAAAATTCTTCTGCGTGCCAACCCTAATTTTTTGAGAACATGTTACGCCTACTTGATATCTCTTAAGGTGTACGTATGTGAAGAACCTTGAAGAAATAATAAAATTCATTCGAGCGACAAAAACACAGTATATGATGATGAAAAATACATTTATTTTTTAATGTATACATGTACACTGATAGTCTGACAGAAAACTTTATGACTTCCTTTGATATTATCAGTGGGACTTTTGCTGCTGCATCACTGATGACAGAGATTTTACATCAGATTTATATTTCATGACCTTCAGAGATATGCACGAGCTACTACTTTCATCCGTCAGGCTACTCCTATTAGGAGACTTAACAAAATTCATCACTGAGAACAAAGATTCACAAGCGTATGTGGATGAAAACATGGAGAGTAACGCTGTTGAAAAGTTTTTTAGACAGAAAAAATTTTCTGAAATGGCATTCCAAGTCCTCAATAGTTTTCGACACTTCTCTCTGGTACTCCTGTCTCTAATCGCTTTTTTTCAATGTTTTCCAAGTCAACTCTAAGGTCAATAAATTTCTGCTTCCAAATTGAGCTACTCTGAAATTCAATCAACTGCATTTCAAAGTCAGCCATGTCTATGATCTTTAAGATAACTTGTTATGTAAAATTATTTATTTAAGATGCACCTACATTGAATTTATCTGAAAAATAAAAAAGTCAATATTAAGAAAAAAAGTGTAAATGGAAGATTATAAGAGAGGGTTTTGCGTGCCAGCAAAAGTTACTGGCGTGCCATGTTTGGCACGTGTGCCAGGGGTTGCCCACCCCTGTCTTAGAACAAAAAATAAGGTAATTTTAGAGTATCTCAATTTTAGAAATGAATCAATCACTGTGAATTATAGGTTCAGATATAAGTCATCTATATATATAAAAACCTAATATGCAAGTAGACTGAACAGTGGAACAACCAAACAACCGGTCGCTGTGACGTGCGCTGACTACCGGGGGCACGCATGGTACATGGCGGGCATTGGCAGCAGGCGGCAGAGCGTGGAATATGGTGGGCATCTGCTGTGGCAGGATGGTGGAGCAGGTGAGCGGGTGCTCCAGACCAAGGCAGGGTGCCGGTTGCTGTCATCAGGGCGATCCTCTGGTGGTTACTGAAAATTCTTTGCTCCTGAGGGGCGATCGGGGCCAGCAGCTGCCTCTCACACCTGCTGCCGGCGATGGCCCTGCTCACACCCACTGCTGGCGCCTGGCGCCGGCCCCGATTGCTCAGCGCCATCAGCAGGTGCAAGCAGGGCCTGCGCCATCAGCACCTGGGAGTTACAGCAGCGTGAGCGGGGCTGCTGGCAGACAGGGGCCAAGTGGGTGCACAGAGGATGGCCTGAGACCCGCTCCTGTGCCCACTGCAGCCTTGCAGCCCACAGTTCATTTCAAGGTGCACGAATTCATGCACTGGGCCCCTGGTAACTTTATAATGTGGAGAAAAAGTAAAGCCCAAATATTCTAGATCACAATCCCAGCCATATAAAATATTGACTTTGATGTTGTGGTTTGTGGGCTTTCTAAAACCTATTATGTATTTTTAAAAATCTGTTTAGATGTGTTTTTTTAAAACACCTCTTTCATCTAGATAATATGTTCCTCTTTCAATATCAAGCAAGCAAAAACACTTTATGAACATTTTCTTTTGAAAAGAACATGCAATTTAACCACATAATTTTTGAAAAGTCCATTAATAAGATACAAACAATGCACCCTATAGAAACTCAATATTTGAGAGTTGGTGTTTATGATAACTGTTTCAAATTTGTTTTTCAACTTGAGGATCACGAAAAAGTAATAATTCCTTCGCTGAACAGTATGCGTGAATGCATTTCCTCCCTGTGCTTTGAATTGTTCACCACAGTGTCATGCAGATTCTCTCCTCACCACCTAAATAGATTACACAGTGCCTGCATTTATTCAGGTGTTTTTTCATGCCCTCCCTACCCTGTGCCAGTAAAGTATAAGTCACAATCCAAAGAGAAATATTTTCTTTACTTTTAGGTCTAAAATATTTTATTGGACATTTAAAAAAATTACTGTAGAAACATTTTTTTCTCATCTTTTTTTTTTTAAGTTAGACTTTTGGGGCAGAAGATAATGAATATAATTAATCTGATACTTAAAAAGAAAAAGGATAGCAAATGGATGAAACAAATTAAGCCCTCAGCACTTCTACTCATGCCTCAAAACCCCAAAATAATTTCCTTCTTCTCATTTAGTTTTACATGGTATTTTACACATTGCTTTATTAGCACACTTATTCCACAGTGCATTAGCAAGCTCTTCTGACTAACCGCCAGTCCTTTCAGTCTTTTTACTCCAGCAACGAATTGCACTCCATGAACCGACAGCACCTTGCATCAGTTGTGCTGTGTAGCTTGCTTTCTGCCAGGGCTTTGCTGATGCCTCAGCTGCGTGGACCACCTGCAGGAACCTGCTTGGTCATTCTCACACATAAACTACCCTGTGTGAAGAGCTAACACCCCACAGACAGCTCTTGACCAAGGAGGACAGAAGTCAGTGGACCCATACTCCTCTCATTCATCGGATTGACAATTCTCAGGTCCCTTCCACATCGCTCCTTAGAGGTTCCCTGAAGGAATCATACCCCAGTGGCCAACTAATAACACTCCTTGTTTTGCCTTTTCCTCGTTTCCTGTTTTGCTCTTCCTAGTTCCTCACTCCTGTTTGGAATGACAGCCAAATTCAACCTACTCTGAGCCCTTGTTCCAGATGGGCTTTATGGATTGTTACCTGATTCTACAAGTACTGGTAAAAATAACGTGGAAGCAAAAAGATGTTCAGAAGCCCTTAATGCAGTACATATGCTCTCAGAGAAGATGAATGTTCAAGCTACTCCTTATTAATAAATCACTTGCCAAGAGAGACACATTTTTTCCCAGGACCCTTTTGTGTATTATTTATTGCAGCAATGTCTCTGTCATCGCAGCAGTAGACTTTGGTGGACTTGTGGCTCATCTGATTGCAAATCTCTTAGTATTTACCATGAATAGGGAATGAGTCAGAGTGTAGTAGAATATGGGAGAGGAAGAAAACCCAGGCTGCATCTATACTAAATCTTTCCTAACTTGCTATTTGTGAAAGTCAAAAGACAAACTTTAGAAGACATGAAAACTTGGGCAACCAAGCTTCATACCCTTGAGTAACTTGCAATAACTATAATGGTTTTTTATCTCTATTTATTAGACACTGAAGTAATTTAGCACTAATCTACTCTAAATGATTGTATAATCTACTCATACAGAAAACCTAAAGGTTGTGAATGTCTTCCTTCCTGTCCTTAACATTTTATTGTTTGCAACAGTGACAATGCATCTTTTCTCCTTTCTGAGAAGACCATTTTCTTTTGAAGGTAATGAAGTAGAATGATCTAAATCAGTGTCTTTTCAGGCTACAGGTTGCACACTTATTAGGAAGTGGATTATGGAATCTACGTAGTATGTTATAATTAAAGAAATTGAAAATATCAGAGTACATCATATTTATGAGTGCATATATTGTTTCAAGGGTTTTGCTCTTACTTTGGGTATTGTCACAAAAGTTCAAATCCATCAGTTTTGAGTGGTTACAGAGCATAAGTTTTAAACACTTTGGTTTTTTACAATATTATCTTTTGGATAACTAGTTAATATCCAGAAGATTCTCAATGGTCAGTGACTGGAGAAGATTTGGAGGGGAACCTCACACTCAACCATGTGTCAATGCAGCTTAAAAACCAGAAAGAAATATAACCTTTTACTTACTCTTCAAATTGATTTCATTTATGAATTGAAAGAAAAAACCCCATATGATAGGTAAGACTTGTATATATAGATCCTCAAAATTTAAATACATTCATTGGAAGTGGTCTCATTTCACAGTATGTAGTTCTTTTTTCAATCTATAAATTAGGATGATTTGAGTTACAAGTAAAAGTAAGCTCAACTGAAACCAGATGAAGCAATAAAAGGAGGTAGAGGAATTCTGTAAGTTTGATGTAGAAGTTGTTACTCTCCCTGTGTCATCAGATTTCCAGCTCCATTTATATATGACTTTCTTTCCCCGCCATCTTCTAGATCATCCTCATCCAAAGACAGCTTCCGCTTTATATACAGAATGAGTGTTGGAGGGAGTTACAGGCCTCAGAACCATAAACCACAAAATCCAGCACAAGAGAAAATGCCTAATGATTTATGGCACTATTCTAGATATTTTCCTCATATTTTAGAAAATTACATACTTTTCTTGATAATTGTATTCCCATGCTTTCATCTGTCTTCTGTATTTTCTGTGCATTACATCTAAAAGCTTGATTACATTCAGGTTCAACTTTTGGTAAGAATGTTTCATAGATGGCGTTGTATTCTTCTATTGGGAGATATAATGTCTGGTTCTCTCCTTTTTGTGATGTTAGGAGCCATTGATGAGCATTGCCTAAATCCATGAATTCAATATGTCAATAATGCAATTTTGTCCTTCCATATTTCTTAGCTGGAATACTTGTATAAATCATCCCAATTCAACTATTTTGATACCAAGAGCACTGCTTTTACAGGATAAATTCTTTTATTTAGCAGTTACCCTTTTTCCTCCTTTATTCACAGTGATTTGAAACTTTT